CAAATCAAAAATAGTTGGAAAACTACAATACCAATTGCATGTGCAAGTATTATATTTCCTGGTAAGTGTTGATAAAAAGTATAAGAAAACAAAAAAAAATCAATGTCTATTTTTAGTGGGAATTGGTTGTGCAGTAGCCTTATGGTTCTATGATATGAATTCAAATTTTCAATCGAATAAAATCGCATTTATTCTATTTGTTGGTAAGAAAAACAGTAAAGAATTTCCATATGTGAAATATTTTGTAAAAATAGCATCTGGTTTTGGTTTTTCTGCTTTTCCTGTTCTTGCTACATTGCTCAATTCAAATGGTTTATTGAATAAACCAATTGGTGTTCAAACAATTTCTTTGGCTGCTGTTGAAGATATTTCTGTATGGGTTATTCTAGCGATTGCTAGTGCTTTTTCATCAGGCGATTCAGCGCTTCATGGTCTTTACACTTTATTGCTTACAATAGCATTTATTGCGATTATGGTTTTTATCATTCGACCCATTCTTAAGAGGCTTCATGGCTTTTATTTACGTCGTAATGATGATACCAATGTTTACTTAGTTGTGATATGTTTTTTATTACTTGTTGCTGCTGCATTTACAACAGAAGTTATGGGCAAGTATCTGTTTTTTATTTTCAAAGAGGAGTATTTTAAAAAGACATTTATACATGAATTTGTATAGGCATACATGCTTTCTTTGGTGCTTTTATGAGTGGTCTATGTCTTCCAAGAAAAGGAGAATTAACTAACTTTTTGGGTCTACGTATTGAACTTATCATTGTTGAATTTTTTTTACCGTAAGTAATATAAAACATCTAATAGAATTGATTTTATTAATTGTATATCAATTATTTTAGTCTTTACTTTGCTAATAGTGGTCTTCGTACACGTTTAGATTTACTTACTACAGGTCAATCGTGGTGGACACTCGTTGTTCTTATCTTTCTTGCTTCCATTGCTAAAATACTTCCTGTAGCACTGATGTCAAAGCTTTGTACAAAAAAATCATGGTCTTATTGTTCATCAATGGGTGTACTTATGAATACACGTGGTATTGTACAATTAGTTGTTTTAAATATTGGTGTTGAACTTAAAGTTATTTCACCAATTATTTTTGCTATATTCGTTTTGATGGCTACTGTTTTAACATTTTTAACATCACCAATAGTATATTTACTTTATCGACGAGGTTCTGATAAGGAAAAATTATCTATGGACGATGTTACCGAAGAATTAGATGCAGTTAGAGAAGGTTATAATAATATGGTTGAATGTGAAAGTACTATTTACACAATTTCAAATGGTGAAAGAATTAATATTAAATTGAATTCTTCACAAGTTAATTCAAATGCAAATCGAGATCAGTCTGAAGTCATTGGCAATATTGTAGAAATGCCAACATGTCCTAGACGAGTTCTTAATATGACACGATTTTAAATAAAATATTCTTTGTATATATAACAGATACAAATCAATATATCTAAATCGTAATCGTGATTTGTTCTAAAATGATGATCTTTGAAAATCATTTTCTTTTGTCTATCATAATTTTCATTGTCGTGGATAATACTCTTCAGTTGACATATTTCGCTAAATAAATATATCACATATGTTTATTTTTTTGAATAGAACATATTAGAAATAATTAAGCATATCCGATGAATTATGTATGTTTCGAAGAAGGAGAGATTGGAGAGGTGGAACACTTCCCTACTGAGGTTTAAACTTTTATGATTGGAACCTGTTTCAATCGATTATACGAAGAGCTCACCGAGGAAAAAAATAAATAGTTGTCAATAGATAGTCATTAAGTCTCGATGTGAGTTCATAAAATGTTAATTTAGCATATTAGCCATTTGCATTACGATTCATATTGTCAGCAGATAAGAGCACTGCATCATATAAAGAAAAATAATGGGTAGACTGCGGTTGGGTTGCTTTCCAAAAACATAAGTAAGGTGAATGTACACCATATTTTGAAGCTTCCTATGCAAAATCATGATCACTCTCAGAATCAATTTTTATCCATGAATATATTTTATTCACACTTAGAACATTGAAACTTATTACTGCTAGGGTTTGGGTGTGGGGTGTGGGGTGTGGGTGTGGGGTGGGTGTGGGTGTGCGTGTGCGTGTGGGTATGGGTGGGTGTGGGTGGGTGCGGGTGTGTGGGTGTGGGTGTGGGTGTGTGGGTGTGGTGTGGGTGTGAGTGGGTGTGGGTGTGAATAAAGAGACACCCACACCCACACTCATCCGCACCCAAACCCACACACCCACAACCTCAATGGCGAACGAAATAAATTTAATTGAATAACTGCATCTTTTATTTGCCCATAAACGTAAATGCTCCATTTTGAAGTAACTCCTTGACAAGAATGTTCAGTCAATAATCTGAAGTGAAGCCAAAAAGTGTTGGTACACTTTTTTCAAAATAGTGTTGAAAATGAAAAAAGGTAATTTTATAAGGAAGAAAAAGATATTTCAATTGAGAAGGCATACTCATTATTGAGATTGAGAAGCAACCATCTAGAAACTCATTTACATACAAGAAAAGCAGCACAACTCATTTGTAGTTAACAACAAGCGTCGTGCA